CATCATCATCATCCTCACCACCACCACCATCATCATCATCATCTTCGTCATCATTATCAAGACCTAAATGCGGATCGCTTCTGCAGATTGAAACAGTTATTAAGGCCATTACAGTTATTAATATTAGCAGTAGTGGTGCTGCTATTGTTATTATTTTTATTATTGTTGTTGTTATTATTATTATTGTTATTATTATTACAACTGCAGCTAGTACTACTAAAATTATTATTATTATTACTGCTTTTGCTTAAGCTTTTTGAATGCTTATGCAACTTACTGTTGTTACTATTGTTATTATTATTATTATTGTTGTTGTTGCTAGCAATACGCAATGCATTATTATTGTTTTTATTATTATTATTGTTAGTGTTATTATTATTATTATTATTTGCGCTACTACTACTATTGCTGTTGCCAGTACTACCACTACTACTGCTGCTGCACTGAATTATTAAATTGTTATTATTGTTGTGGATGGTTTTATAGCTGTTGTTGTTGCTATTGGCATTTTTATTATTATTATTGTTGTTATTATTATTATTGTTGTTGCTGTTATTTGATTGGCTGGCCATGTAACGAAAGTAGGACCTCGTCTTTACCCCATTAATTTCCATTTCGGTCCCTAAGAAGTTATTGTTATTGTTGTTATTGATGTTTTTGTTGTTGTTGTTGTTATTATTATTATTATTGAAGTTATTGATGTTGTTGGTGTGATTATTGTGATGAATTTTAAGCACGGGTATGTTGCTTTGCTGATGCTTTTGTTGTTGTTGCTGCTGTGATCCTACACAATGATATGGTAATTGTTGATGTTGCTCTTGTTGATGTTGTAGTTGTTGTTGTTGTTTCAGATGATGTTTGCTAAGAGGAAGATACTGAATGCCCATCTGACTACTGCCATAACCGTTGTATGAGCTCGATTCTTTGTTGTCGTTGTCGTAGTTGAAGATGCGTGGGTTGTTGTTGGCGTTAACTGTCCTGTCGTGGTTGTTGTGGCTACTATTGCAGCTGCTACTGCTTTCGTTGTTCATGTATTTGTTGCTGTTAGCTGACTGGCCGTTCATGCGTCTGTATCGCGTGCAGCTTCTGTTGGGTGGCTGTTGTTGTTGCTGCTGTTGTTGGTAGTGGTGATGTTGGTAGCGAATGGTAGGATCTGGATATGGAAGAACATCACCATCGCCCTCATCATCACCATCACCGTCATCATCATCATCCTCATCTAACTCATCATCGTCGTTGTCTTCGTCGAAGTCATTATTATTAGTAACTTTGCAGTTGTTGTTCTTTCTGAGTGCATCATCATCATCATCATCATCATCATCTCCACCATCTTCATCTTCTTCTTCCTCTTCTTCAGTCATGATTTCAGCAACGTCATCATCGTCGTCGTCAATGGCCACAACGTTCAGCTTTTGAGACGGTGGTTGCTGCTGCACTAGCTGTAAGAATTGAGACTGGTCGCTACTCGTTGCCTGCATCAGCTGCTGTTGCTGCTGTTGGAGCTGCTGCTGTTGTTGCTGGGAAGTGGCTCCAGTATTATTAGCGCTGCTGTTGTTGAAGTTTTGACCGTTGGCGAACCAGCTAGACTTGTGGAGGACGTGAATGTCTGGCCTCTTTTCGAAGTCCCAGAGAAACATTTGAGTGAGAACCTGGTAGCAGGGTGCGGTCAATTTGTTCTTCAGCTTCATCCACCTCATTTCCATCGTTTCCTGCTCCTTCAAAACGCTTTTTGTGCCCTGTACGTGATATATATATATATGTGTGTGTGTGTGTGTGTGTGTGTGTGTGTGTGTGTGTGTGTGTGTGTGTGTGTGTGTGTGGCGTGTTAAACGTGTTGTGTGGTAGTGTAAGCAGTTCAACTGGCGGATTAATATAAAAAAAATGAATTTCTTTGTAATCATTATAAAAAAGAACAATTAAATATTTGAAATGATGAGCGGAAAAATCACTTGAATATAAAATTGTTTTGTAGAGAAATCGTCAAAATTTATGCGAGCCTAAAGATGACAGCAGCGGCAGCACTAAACATTAGGACGACGGTTAAGCAAATGAAATTAGAAGATGAAATGACGAAGGTCGGTGCAACTCAGATGAAAAATAATTCTTAAAAAAAACTGCCCCACCTTAGTTTCATCGAAGGGCATATTCCCAAAAACAAATATATACAGGATGACACCAATGGCCCAAACGTCTGTCTTCTTGGGATCGTACGGTCGGCCCATCAAAATTTCAGGGGCCGCGTACGATCTGGAGCCACAGTAAGTTCGACTGAGCTCTGTGTGGTCCTGCTGATGTTTTATGAAGCCGAAGTCGCAAATTTTGATGTGGCCCTCTTCTGTCAATAGGATGTTCTCCAGTTTTAAATCTCTGTGAGAGATCTGACGGTCGTGCAAGTACCTGACCTGTTGGTTGGACAACGTGAAAGTAATTCTACTTCGCCACTTTTTCACTAGTGCAGTAGCGATATTACTTAGTGAAAATCTTACTTAGTAAATCATTTAGGCGATTTTTAAAAAGCCGGTTTTCAAAATACGATTTTCGATAAAAAATTACCGACCGCATCGACGATTTGTTTGATCCATCTCCTGGCCATTGTTTCGCCGATGGCTCCATTCTTCTGAATGTATTGTAGAGCATCTCCGCCAGGCACGTACTCCAACAACATGTAAACACGTCTGGCGTCCTGACGAAAATTTACTCTTAGTTGAAAATTTAATTTCAAGTTGAAGGCTTGTCTATGACTATTTAGGAGTGCGAATGTAATTTTTGCAAGTTTGACGAATGTTTCGCGTCAATAGCAAGTTAAATGACATTATCATTGATGCTACCTTGTTTTAAAGCAGCCAACGCAATCGACGAAATGTCATTCAACACTCAGACGTGCAGCACAAACCTGGAAACAGTCGAGAAGAGCGACCAGATTAGGATGCTTAAGTTGCGGCCACAACTCCAACTCTCGCGGCATGAACTTCTCTTGATAATCTTTCGGCGTTTTCAGGCGGTCGACGATTTTTACGGCGGCTAAAGAGACGGGAACGCTGTTGCAGTTTAAAACTTTTTTAACCTGTATTTTTGGTGTATAATCGTGGCTATGAGCTGGCTTTGACAGTAGACAGAATGAAAATTTTGAATAAAGTTTTAGAAAAATACAAATTCGTCACTTTTGAATAAGATCCCGACCCCAAAGTATTTCGAACCAGGAAACCTTTCCTAGCCAAGACAGCTCTGTAAGTGTACTGATAACCGACGATTGTCGAATTACAGACGATATCGTTACCACAACTTTGACCACTGGTAGAACCGTTACTATTTGCAGCTGCTGCAGATTCTCTCAGAGACGACAGAGCGCTGGTTGATTTGTGTTTAGTCGAACTTGTCGGTATCGGTTCGATTAAGTAACATGCCTTATGCAGTTCTTCGTATATCGATTTATCGACGGTGTGGTCGACGAGTCCGCGACTAGAGCCACCAGCGCTGTGGTTGTGCGACTGATTGTGGTTACTGGGACGTGAGGATTGCGAAGGAAGAAATGGTGGGTCTTTAGAGGGAGAACTTGACTGAGCGTTGTTAGTGGCCGATGAAGCTACGGCCGAATTAGGCAGAGATGAATTGTTGTTGCGAGCCGCTGCAGCCATCCGATCCGTCGACGTTTTACGTTTTTTAAACATACTCGTCACCCCTTCTAACAAATATCAGATTTTCTTTATTAATTTTAAAGCAACGACGTCAAGCGTTTAAAGATTATGTAAAATTAGCGTAAGAAACAATTTTTTAAAGTTTTACTGGTTTTTTTAATTAATAAGTAACGAAGCGCTTCGAAATTTACTGGACATCGTTGCGTTAGGTTGACTTTTAAGCAACGTCTCTCTATCGTCTTGATTTCTCACTCATCTTTTTCAATTTTCTTTAAGAACGCACTATTAAACACAACCATTTTTTCAAATAAATGCCTAAAACAAATCACCAAAATGCATCTAAATAAATTTTAAAAAGTTAAAAAACCGTTTCTCAAAAGCTGTCTTCCACACGAGCGAGACAGCAGCGTCTCCGATATCAAATTAATTTAATCCCGCAGTTATATAGCTCAAAATAACCTCACGAAAATGAACGTACGAGGGATTTCACTAATTTCCTAATTTAAATAATGTCCGGATGGTGGGGGTTACGTTAATATTTACAATCGAATCGTACAAACCCCCACATAACATAATCACAATGTATCTTAGGTAATCATGACGTCGTTTCAGCTGATTGAGTTAAAAGTTAATTTCTATTTTAGAAGAGATGCAATTTTTAAATACATATTTAAGCAACAACTCACGGCAAGGACTGAGAATTTATTCAAAAGTCCATTTTAAATGGAATTTAATTAAAATAAATAAGAAAAAATCATCTTGAATATTTAAATGACAATTATCTTTTGATCTATGTATAACCAATGAAAATAAAAAAATATGAAACAAAAATTAAATTCAATACATAATACAATAAAAGTACACAA